CATTTGAACAGAATCGGACTATAAAAACAAAATAATAAAAAATTTTAACATAATTTTTACATAATATATTAATACATTTAATAATATATAAAATATATAAAATATATGAATATATAAAATGTCCTAAAAATAATTATATATATAAAATTGTATTCACAAATCAATTGCAAAAATATAGATAATAAAATTTATTTTTATAGTTAGAAATTAAAAATATTAAATTAATTTAATATGGATGATATAAATGTATGCATTATTTCTATTCTAGGTTTTTTTATTTTCTATCCTTTCTATAATTGAAATATCATCAACTTTTCTAAGAAATATGAAATATGTAAAAAAAATTTTTTACATATTTTTCCAATTTTTCTTTTGCAAACGCATTTAATATAAATGAATTTATTATTGAATTTTGTTGTATTATTTTTTATTAATTTAAAAAATGTTTTTTTATTTACTAAATCAATTTTATTTTCAAAAATCAATATCTATTATTGAAGATATTTTAATTTATTTTAATAATTAAATTTTTGGCATATTGAATATGTTAATAAATTTAAATTTAGAGTATAACATATATTCATCAAATGTATTTAAAGCAAATAATATAATTAATTTTTTGAATTGTTATAAATATACAATATTTTTTACAATAAGTATTAATACATATTTAATATTTTTTATATAAATTTAAATTTATTGGCTATTGTATCTTTTTAAAACATATATATTAATATTAATGTTAAACTTGTATATTTTTGATAAAAAGTTAAGAATATTAAATTAAAAAATATAAAAATATTTACCTTTAAACCTTTACCTGTACCCACAGCTGCTATAAGAGCATGAGTGTCTGCTGTACTGCTGGTTTGAGCTTGAGTTGCTCTAGAACCAGCTTCACTTTCCCACTCTTCACGTGCCTTATTTGCTATATCCCATACATGATTAATTACTTTTGTGTATTGAGCCACTTGTTTCTGAAAATTATAAAATGCATATATATTTTAGAAAAAAGATATTTAATGTTCCACTCGCTAAATGGACCTTACTATGAAATTTTTATTTTTAAACTATTAGAGGAAAATTAATCAATTTATATATAATATATATTAGTTTTTTATATAATAGTTGTTTAATATTGCTAAATTTTAAATAAATATATGATAGTATCTTTAATCAAAAATAATGATTTCCTCTAACAATTTAAATAATAAATTAATAAAAAAAATATTATATATTACAAAAATCTATCTGTATTTATATAAATATAAATAAATTGTAAAATAAGTTGCAATTTATAATATTAGAAATATTATTATTTGCTAATTTAAAGTATATGTTATCATAATTAATTAATACAAAATTATAAAACAAAATATATTTTTATATTTTTAAGATTTGAAACTTATTTTATATATAATTTTCATAATTATTTCAATTTCAGTCCAAAGCGAATGGAACTAATAAAAGCTGAAAGCTAGCTGATAGTAGCTTACATTGCAGTCCTAGTTGATGTTTAGTTAGCACATTAAAAAAGAAATAGAATATCTTAAATTATCTTTAAGCTTTTACAATAAAACAACAGAGATATAACTTTATTTCAATCTTAAAATATTTTCAAGATTTAAATTTATTTAATTTTTTAATTATTATTAAAAAGAAATTAAATTTACATATACTTCATAATTATATTAAATTTTTAAAGGATTTAATATATAAATAAAAAATATTTTTTCTTACATGTGATGTTTCATAATTTAAATTTGCAGCTTTTGCTTCAAGCTGCATCATTTTTTGTTCAGCTTGAGGTTCTACTTTAGTTCGTAGATAGTCTGGTACTAAGTCATGAGCAAATGTAGGAATTCTACCTTCAGTTAAACGAAGCAATTCTTCATCTTTCTCTGGACTTAATCTTAATGGTAAAACTGTTAAGTTTCTTAAATTTGGTGCTTTATCATGTCCAAGAATTTTTGAAAGACTAGTCAGCTATAAAAAAATTTATTATGTAATAAAATATAAATATATAATAAAACTAAATTGAATAAAATTATAATTATAATTGTACAAACTACGTCATTTAAAAGTTATATTTTAATGGATATTATCTTATATTAATTCTAATAATTAATCTTAATATATTTTAAATTAAAAATCAGTATATTTTGATTAATTTCTATTTATATGTTACAAATAGAAAATGTAAAATACATACATGTCCCGAAATAAGAGCAAAATTATCAAGAAAATTAGGCCAATTCAATGTTTCATATTCATGTTCCAATTTAAATATCATTGCAGCAATTGCACTCTTTAAATCATTTACTCTCATAATAATTGCCTCTAAAGCAGAATCTAATTGTTTTTCTTCTCTTTGCATTTTAAACCTTAAAAAATATAAATAAAAATATATAATATTTTATTCTTTATTATTTATTATTATTAATAAAATTTATGAAAATTATGTAAAAAATTATAAATTAATTATGTAAAAATCTATTTGTATAAAAATACAATAATAAAATTTTATTAAGATAACAAAAAACTTTTTTTTG